TTTGAAAATAGCGATTCCTGCTCGGTTTTTTGAGGTCAGAAAAAAAACCACACGTTCTAGCTCAATTCTGACAGTGGATTTGAATTCAGCAGAGTCTTTTACATAAAAATGTACTATTTGATGTGGAAATAAATTTTTTTCCAAATTTTCCCAGTAAATTTTCATCAATTTTCACTATTTTTCACAAGTTTTTTGAGGTTAGGAAAAAATTGTGACGTGATGGGCCAATTCTGACCCCAGATTCGTGTTCAGGAGGCCAAATTACTACGAAAAATATATGTCGCATTAAAAGTATACCCAACTTTTTTTTTTGTGTGGCTGTGTAATTAGTAAAGGCAAACGCATTTGAATTTGCCGATATAAAATAGGTGTGATAAAATTCTATTTACATATTTCTTTCCTTGCGAAAGTTTTTGTCCGTTTTTATCACACATACCGGTCGCATTGTGCGAGGTCAGGTTTTGCAGTGGACCAGTTTCCAGTGCCGTGCAGAAGTGTATTTTTAAATCAATTTCAAACAGACCTTTTTGATTTTTTCTTTACAAAATTGTATTTGTAAGGGTCCCCTGTACATCCAGAATTTTTTTTTGGTTAGATGAAAAATGTGACAAAAAAAGGTAGGTACTGTAAACAACCCTGTCAGCCGGTCCGAACGAGAATAGCTTAACAGCTGACACAGCAAGTTTTAAGTTAGTTATTGTTTATAATACAGGGTGTTAAAGTTTTTTTATTTCTTGTTTTCTCCTTAAATTTGCTGCTGCTTAGTTCTTCTTCATGAAGTATGCAGTGATTACGTTCCCATTAGGTTAAATCATACAGGACATTCATTTTACCACAACCCTTTGTGAATATTCTTGTATGTACCATTTTTGTAGGTTTAAATTTTTACACGCAACTATTGGAAATGGGTAGAGAATTTTATTCTACATAAAAAATGTATACCTAGCAAAAGTCCAAATTAATCTCGGTTATGAAGATATTACAGAAAATATTTTTTGTAAATAACTACATATCCATAACAGAATTAATAACATAATAAACTGAAAGGTGGCAGTAATAAAAAGTCTACTAATTTATAATAAATATTCTACGTGTCCCCCTTCTTTTCGACACATTTCCTTAAATGTTTTATGAAACTATTGAGAAAAGGAAACAAATTATATGTTCGTCTAACTTGTACGGCATCCTTTATTCTTTTCCAAAGTTCTTCTCCTGTATTAGGTGTTACAGAGTTGTAAACAATTTTTTTCAAATGATCCCAAAAATAAAAGTCTAACAGATTAAAATCCTGACAGCGAGAAGGCCTAGGAAAGTCACTACCTCGACCAATGCAATGGTTTGGAAATGCTCCATTTAAATGATCTCTCACCAAATGGCCATAATGAGCAGGTGCACCATCACGCATGAACCACATTTGTCGTCTAGTATTAATGAATACTTCTTCGAGAGCCCCAGGAAGTTCTTGCCGAAGGAATTCCATATAATTTTAGACGTTCAACTTTGCAAGTAGACTGAAAATTCATGTTGGAAGTGATGCTCTTTTATTGCGTGTGGATTTTCTTCATTCCACACATAAGAGTTTTTCCAATTAAAAACACCTCTGTGTGTAAAAACAGCTTCATCTGTAAAGACAATTCTCCCGAGAAAAGTGTAATCCCTGTTATGTAACTGGAGAAATCATTCGCTAAATGTTATTCTCATCGGGCGGTCTGGTTCAACCAAATTTTGTACAAGGTGAAAATAGAAACATTGTAACTGCTGCATGTGGAGTATAGTTGAAGCGATTTTGCAGCCTTGTGACTGCTGACAAACGATGAATACTAAATTTTGGATTTTCTTCTACACTTTCTAGAATTTGTTCTTCGTCTTGTACCCTTCCTTGAACGTACCTTCCATTTCGTGAATTAGACTGAAAGTTTCCAGTTTCTCCTAATTTGGTGAATAAAGAAGCAGACAATGTATGAATGAGAAGGCTATCTGCAATACGGATAAAGTTCTTCATATGTTCTCTTAGCAGCGCTTCCACTAAAATGTTCCCATACATCAGCGGTCGGCAAATGGCGGACCGCGGTCCAGATCCGGACCGCGAAAGGTTAGAAACTGGACCGACAAAAATTTTTTGAAAGTTTAATTACTCAAATTATTTAAAAACATATTTTTCTATAGATAAAAATACGTTTGAATGCCACCCTTATCATTTTTTAATGGTTAGTAGGTTAGTAAAAAAAACTGACTCAAGACTGCAAATGTAATTTCTCCCATTGATTTTTTAATACAAATATGCCTATATATTGTACTTCATATTATTTTGAGTGCAAATTAAAACAAAAAATTAGTAAGGAATATGAGGTTTTTTCTGGACCTCGTTAAAAATTTTCAAAAGTATCCGGACTCCACCTAAAATTACTTGCCGACCCCTGCCATATATTATCATGTCTCTCGTTTCATAATTCGTAAATTCATTGTGACGAGGCATTCTCAGAAACAAACTTGACAGTGACTTATCGAAATTGTGATGTTATGGATACATAGTTAATTCCAAAAAATATGGGGTATATGTTAAATATTTTCTGTAATATCTTCATAACCGAGCACAATTTCAACTTTAAATAGGTATACTTTTTGTGTTGAATAAAATTCTCTACCTATTTGTGATAGTTGCATGTAAAAATTTAAACGTACAAAAAAGTTACAGAAGAATATTTACAAAGGGTTGTAGTAAAATGAACGTCCTGTATGATTTAACCTAATAGGAACATAATCACTGCATAGTTCATGAAAAGAAACTAAGCAAAGAACCAGCAAATTTTGCTCAAATCAGTTAACTGGGTTCTGAGTTAAGGAGAAAAAAAGAAACTTTAACACACTAACTTTTTTTTGCGACATTCTTCGTTTAAGCAAGTTTGGTTAAATCAACACCATTTGGGTACTAGATGGTACCCTTAAAATACATTCCTTAGGTGATATCCTGTACATTTGTCCGCATTATACACTATGTAACTAAAATATTTGATCAAATTTTAATTGTGGATTTTGTCACATATGTATTTTGAAAAAAAACAATCTTAAAAATATATCTGCAAATGCTTCATTACAAGTCACAAGTTATTTTTATTCTACAGGTTTTAATAAAGCGTATTTAAAAAATATGCTGAAATCGCCTTCAATGTTATGGTAGGGATAGAAATAATATTTTTTTTCAACTTTTCAACAACAATTGCAGTTAGAATATGAATTTTGGCACGGACATAATACTAATGAGACGTCACAGTATCAATATATTTCCCCCTTTTTTTATGCTACACAGGGGGCTTATACAGATGTCCCTTATTCAACTACTAAACTTCTAACGGATATTTTTTGCAAAAATGAACATAAAAAGTTCAAATGAACTAGGAGTTTTTATAAAGATACAGTAGTTTGAAGATGAACTGTTAGCAACATTTGTAAATTTATGATTGAGACTGGTCGGCTCATGTAGTAAAGTATAAAGCTTTGGCACAAGCCAAACTCAAGATGATATATAAGAGGTCTGTTCAGAAAATAACCAAATTTTTTGAATTACACGCTAAGGCTGCGTTTAACGAATGGTCGAACCAGTCAAAGTCGTTCAGCGGACAAACATTTCGTTGGTTAGCCCAATCAGCTGATTGGGAATATTGGGCAGGTTTTAAAATGTGACTACAGTGGGCAGGCTGGATCATTTAGGGAGTATGATTGTCTGCCTTCTGTGTCAATAGTCTGTGTTGTGTGATCAACAGGTTATGTTTGCGGCTTTTATTCACTAATTTGAGTAATTTGTAAACCCTCATTGTAGTTTATAAGGTCTATTATAGTAATTGCTTAACAATAACTGAGAAGAGATCCATAATAAACAAAAAATAAAAATATATTTTATTTTCCGTAATCTGTAACAAATTGATAAAAAATATTATTTGCAACTAAGCAACAACTTAAGATTATCAATCTTCAAAATATCACACTGACATATGAATGATACTACTCACTTATTTTCGATCCACTCAGCTCTCATTTCTGTACAACGCACATTAAACATAGATAGTGTCACTTCTTTTTCCAAATCTTTTTTGCTTTGTCTAGCAGCGTTATTTGTTTTTAATCCTCCAAATGTTGTACCAGCTAGAACTTCGCCTCCAATAGTCCAGTCAATCAGTGGATCATAAACAAACGCTTCTAATAAAGTCAATAACGTTTCTCTTCCCTTTCTCATTGTTTTCAAAACATTTTCACAAGCTAATCTGAAGATTCCCTGAAATTATAAAAATTGTTTATAATTTTTATTCCTTTATCAAGAAGTAACAGTTGAGACAATGCATATAATCAAAATATAAACAAAAATAAAGAAATATAAAACACCCTGCAGATTTCACATGAATATTAGGTTAAAAAAAATCATGTTGTCATAGGTAATTTAGTAAATTCTTAACCGACGCTCAACATATTGGTCATTAAACAATTTAAGTTACAAAATTTAACTTTTATGTTGACCTAATAATATCTTTTATACTATTTTACTGGAGATGCGTTCATGGGGTGTCTCACGGTGACGGCCCATTAGAATTATATCAGACTACTTCGATTTGAATTTTAAAAATTTGGGATACCGGGTTTTCGGGCATCCTCTTCGCAACTAAAATAATGGCGTTCACGTACCACTTCCGGTTATACCGGAAGTCGCCATCAACTTGCTTATTTTAAATGGAACATCCTATGGGACGATCCACGTCAAATCGATCAAGCCTGTGTCCAAAATTTGAGAGCACCTACAAAGATGGTTTTCAGCTTAAAAAATTCGTCTTTCCAAGTACTTTAACATGCTAATTGGCAAAATTGAAAAATCCAAGATGGCGGACATAATATGGCGCCTAGAAGTATGAGAAAAATAAAGAATCATCCTTTAAACTTCTCACAGTAATCAGATTAACGACAAATTCACACCCAAATAGTCTGAACAGGTGCCCTTGACATCGTTGGAGTTATTTTTCAAAAATTCAAGATGGTGAATTTCATATAGTGACTTGTAAGGCTAAAAAGCCTGAAATCTCGTCATTCAAAGGGAAGTGAACTGTCGATTTCACCCATAAACCTTATCTGAACAGATATTTCTCATGTTTTTCAGGTCGCTGGAACGTGACGTTTCTCTATCGCACGGATTTGTATGACTTACTTTATCGCTCTCACGTAACGGCAAATGGACCATCGGTACTTTCCGACCCTGTATATATTTTTTTAAACATATTTGTTTCATACTTCATAGTATGCATAACAGTGAAGTTGAGATGGTAGAATGTTTGAAAAAATGCAAACAAAAACTTTCGATTTTCGAAAAATTACATTAAATCATAATAAAAAAATAATTAGGCTTTACGACGTAATTTGAGAAAACAAACTTATTAGTGTAACTCATTTGTTTTTAAGCCAACTTGTAAAATCTTTATTTACTGTCCTATTTTGATTTATTTTTTTTTTAATGTAGAGCTTGGTTTCAGTTTCATTATAATTATAACAAAAGTAAAACAATTATATTTTTGTCACTTCTATCACTCCACTATTTACTTCCATACTCTCAATTCTTTTACGTACGTTCGTAATTACTTTTTGTATTTGGTTTGGGGTAATTTCTGTACAGGCTTGCATTATCCTAGCATCCTAGTTCGTGTACAGTTTGTGGTCTTGATTTATAATTTTTTTGTTTCAATAAACCCCAAAGAAAAAAAATCTAATGGCGGCAAGTCCGGCGATATCGGCGGCCACTCAAAGGACTATTTCGTCATATCCAGCAATTCTCAAAATGTTCGTTTAACCATTCTCTCACCGCAGCAGCGTTATGAATAGGGCTACCATCTGATTGAAACTTTAAATTAAGGAGATGTTTTAAAGGCAAATCATCTAATGCGTTCCGAAATTAAGAAAATTTAAAATTCTATTCGCATTCAAATTGCCATCAAAAAATAAGTATTCCACACCAAATGCTAACTTTTTGCGATTACAGCGATGAATTCTGGATTCTCAACTGACCAATGACGACAATTTTGATTATTATTAAATATTGTAAAATTTGGTTATTATTTCTCAAAATTCTACGACGTCCATTATGTTTAATTTTAAGTAAATTTTTTGAAACACAGCCTGTTTCTTTGAAAACTTTATTTTTGTCTCTTAATGGTACCTATATTTTCCATAGTTACACGAAATAAACTTTACTACACTCTAATTTGTCACTTTTATAATTAGCTAGGTAACTACCTAATTTTTTGTTTTGCTTCAAGGACGACTTGACATGTGAATTTTTGATTTGGCTACAAAATCCTTAAGGTCGTAGTTCGCCTTGGATTTTTTGGAATCACGCTCATTTTCCTTCACAAAGCACACTTCACCAAGCTTTACTTCTTAAAAAAAATCCGGTTAAAATCGCACAAGATTTTACAGAGCTTAAATGGGTCACAATGTCTCTGTTTTCAAAGATAGCCCTCGTATAAATATGACCCCCATTCAAAATTACACTTCGTGTCTTAAAAATATACATGTAAATGGTACAATTTCTACGTGACAATTTCACAAAAATATATGTTAAACAAAAAATATTTGTTTTTTATATATTGTATCAATTAATAATAATAGCTATATTATCTGTGATACCTGTTCTGATAAAATTTCATCAAATATAATTAGATGTTCACGTGCATTTATTATTACTTATAGGTAATCCGCGGTGGTGTTATCTTTTCAATTGAGATTCTGAAACGGATTCCTGTATGTACGGAAGTTATTATGGTAGGGTCCAAAATGACTAACCTATTTTTGCAGCATAATTACTAAAATACTGCAGAACCGCAAATGTTGCCATTATTTGGGCAACAATATAGTTATTGTATCTAGTTGTTTTCAAATTCTCAATATTATACATCCTTATTTTTTCAACCATTTATAGGTGTACAAATTATTAACATAATAAGTAAAAAACAAATAAAGCTCAGATATAAATCCTAAAAAGAGGCATATTTGGAAAGTACAACTTTCTCAAAATAATCGTAAATCCTTAGATTGCTACGATTTTTTCCGGTTTTTGAAATTTTTGAAAAATTTAGACACCACGTTCTATACCTCACAAAATGTCCCTGTACCTATTTTAATACAGATCTAAAAACTCATTTTTAAATCGCATATAAAATTTTAAAATGTAACAATTCCTAGTAGGTTTTCAGTTTTTTTATGATTTTACTATTCTTTGTTATATTAGTTTAATTTTCTCTCAATTAATATTCAAGGAAGGGATGCAGAATGTTAAATTTTCGAAAAAAAATCGCTATTACGATTTTTCAAACATTGGCCCCAAATTTAATAGGTGTAGGATCTACAGTTTGAGGAAATAATTATAATTTCCAAAAATGTACAATTTTAGATTCTATTAATGGAAAATATTTGAGTTCCAATTTTAATTGTTTACTACAGCTTCGACACTCAGGGAATTTATTGTATTTCTTGAAAATATAGACAAAACGTAATTAAGATGTCACGAATTCGATTTTCTGAAATATAAAATTGAACGATTGAAACGGCATCTTTATATTGTAATACGTCTGTCTGAGAGGGCGTTCTTTTTGTAGGTAAGTTTACAGTCGTTGATATTGCAAATGGGCGCAAGCAACAAAGAAAATCGACCAAAGTTTCTTTTTGAATTAAGCCCGCAGAATAATGAAAGCATATATATATAGGGTGTTTCGTAGAAGAACCGACACAGAGCAGGGGATGTAGGAGAACCCAACATATTGTGATTTAACGCAATTTATCTTTATACTAAGCTGCACCCCTGAGAAGTTATAGGCCTGGAAAGATGGGTTTCCAATTTCGAGAAAAAAATCAAGATCTCAGTTATACTTGTACTTAAAAAAACCTACCTACATGGTGTGACTGTACCAAGAGCATTAATCGACAATAAATAGATTTCAATTGAAGCGTTTTAAAGGATTGATACTTTTCTTACTCTTGTTAGTTTTCAAAAAACTTTGTCGTTTTCAACAAAAACACGAATAACTAATAATACGTATTGTAGCAGTTGTTTTAAAATTAAACGTCAAACTTGACGATCAGGAAAAAAGTTGGAATAAGAATAATTTAATACAAAAACAAACTTCTTAAACAACAAAAATAAAATACAATTTACACCGATAAGTTATAGAAATTGTTCACTGTTTTCTCTCGAGCATAAAGAATGTTAAAAATCGGTCAATTTTTGCCCCACTTTGGAACTTTCTGTAGATATCTTAAATGATTCCAATAGGCTTGTATTTGATAGAAATACACTTCTAAAGATGTCACTCTGCGGGGAAAATCGTCCAGATGGCAATATCCGCGTAAGATTAGATGAAACTTGTTGAGCCTCTACGTAAATTCTTTGAAATCGATCCATGTTCAACCAACTCCGGAACTTTTTGTAGCGATGTTAAATGACTCCAGGCGTGTATTTGATGCAAATACACGTATGAAGCCGGCATTTTCCCGAAGAAAATGTTCCAGTATTTACTTCCTATTATAATACCTTTTAGTCAGAATCAACGAGAAAATTTAAGGATCATACATCGATTCAGACTTGTCCATGCACACTAATCCGAGTCATTGTCTTCATCTTCATCGCTGCTCTCGTTATCAGTCAGTGTCTCAAGGATGTCAGAATGATCTGGTGTTATTGGGATGGAGTCTAGATAACGCGTGTATCCAAAGAATCATAAAAGCACCATTACATGAGAACAGCAACCGACCACTCGTTCTCCGACCTTACATCCACAGTAATCACCAAAAAATACGATCAATTTCATTAATGCGTACCTTATTATATATACGTTATATTTTTTATCCATGTATATTTCAAGTAATATTCATAAATATTCCTACGTACGTTACGTTTGACCCCCCACGCATTGGCCTCTAGGCTTTATGTCTCCTTCTTTTCCTTCTTATATACCGGGTGATCCAGTTTGGTATTCGCGGCCCTGTATCTCTTTTATTTTAACAAATAGCTATAACAAACCCTATATATTTTTAAATCGCCGCTCAAACTCTATCAAATGACATTATTATCTCGTCTCCATGGTAACATATGTCAAAATTGCTATAGTCAACTGTTTTTGTTCAAATGGCACACTATATATTTTTTTATCAATTCTGGAAGATATTTTTTTTCTGCGATCAACTATGTAAAGAAGTCTATAGTTTCATGAGAAATATTGCTAGAAAAACATCAAAAAAGAT